ATTTATTATATTATATATATTTTTTAAAAATATATTTTTTTATTCGGGTATTCGGGCCAAGCCCGAATAGGCCCAAACATAAAAAACATCTTTTTTTTCTAAACCCGGCCCTAAAATTTTTCGGGCCAATTCGGGCTAGTCCGTCGGGCTTGGCCCGAATTACCGGCTCTAACAAAAAATGATTTTTTGTTAATGCAAAATGATTTTTTTGGGATTGATGTACAATGATTATTTGTACACATAGGAACAATAACAAAGTATATTAATAGTAGTAGGGAATAGAAAAACCTAGTTTTCTTTCTTTTTGGAAACAAAACCACGGCAAAATCATGCAAAAGAGATAAAAAATTAAGTCATGTTTGAAATCATAAGATTTTTATAGTCAGGTGAGGGTTATCAAGAATTCTAATATGAAAATTATCCTAAGATAACTGATAGGCAAACAGATTGACACATCTGTTAGCTTATTTATAAATATGGTTAAAATAATAACTCAGCCCTTCTTGATGAGATCTATGCTTTTCTTGATATTTAGAAAGTAAGTGTCTTTTAAAGTAGTTATAATTGATTAGCGATAAATATTCAATTGAATCAAAGTAAACATTAATTTTAGATAGTTTAGTGTTCCAACAAAAATTAAGAGCCATTTGGTTTTCTTTCATTTCACATTCAAAAGTAAAATTTTACTTTTAAAAAGTTAAAAATTGTTTAGGTGAAATATTTTACAGAAAAGCATATAAAGTACATTTAAAAAGTAGCTGAAAGTGAATTTCTAAAATGTAATTATTTGAAGTTTTTGAAAAGTGAATTTAAAAAGTAGGATGTTATTAGACCATACTACCCCAAGTTTAATCTCTTATTCTTTTATTTAAAAAATAGTTAATTCATTAAAAATATAATTATTATTTCAATAATAATAATTAGATATTAATTTTTTAGCATTATAAATGGAATAATTAATCATGTTAATTTTTAGCATTATGTATAATAAAAATTACAAATCTTTATCACCTTTTCTAAAATTACAAATTAAAAAAATACAAATAACTAGAGATCAAATTTTTACCATTATAGATCAAAATTTATGTTATTTAAAATCTTTATTATATTTTTTAAATATTTTAAATATATTACATTTGTATAATAAATATTGTAAATCATCATAAATTAATATTTTTTTTTGATAATTATACATTTAAAAACACATTTCACTATTACAATCAAACAATTTTCAGTATATCAAACTAACTTTTAAAAAAAGTATTCAAATACAAATTTCATTATAACAACTGACTTTCACTAAATTAATTTTTATTAAATGAACTTTTACCAAATGAACTTTTGATAAATTCAAAATGAAACGCACAATAAGACTAAAAAAGCTTAGTTTACATGAACTCTAACTTAAAAGTCATGGTTGTCTCATTTTGTCTATTTCTTAAAAGCCTAGTTTACATGAACTCTAACTTAATTGGTTGGCCTTCCTAACCCAAAAGCCTGGATATTTTTTCAATATTTTTTAATTTAAGTTTTACATTATCACAATGTATATCCAAATTTTGAATGATTAAAAATAAATGCTTAATTAAAGTCCAATTTGCATGAGTAAAAAATTAAAATTTTCTGAAGTTTACATCGAATATAGTGTAAATCCAAGCTTCAAAGGACAAAATATAAATTTTCTAAAGTCCAGATTAAAGAACAGAATTAAATCTTCCTTAATCCTCGTCTCCACTATCCGAAAACAAAATTTTTGACCATTAAGTCATCCAACTTGATAAAATTATTTTTTTCAATTTGTCTGTTGTATTAAAAAAGATAAATTATGTTTTTCGGCAAGAAAAAAACATTGATAAAATTACGTAAAAAAATGAGAAGAAAAAGAAAAAATGGATTTTAGGCTGGCCCGGACTTGTATTTTTCCCTTCAAATGTAGGATTTTATAGACTGATATTTTTCTCATGCACAATTTTTCAAGCTTGTCCATATGTAAAATGTGAGTAAAACAAGTCTGACTCGAATTTCTGATATTTTCTTACATTCTTTATAAAATATACACTTTACATTTTTTTTTGTGGTTATAGTTGTTTTTGAAAATGCATCTGACTAAGCTGAAAAATTGTGATTGTGAGTGATAAGGATTCTTATTGTCTCTTGTCTCTGAATAATGTGTCTGTCAAAATCATAATTTTGACTTTAACAAAAAGCATGCATCAAAATACATATGTTTTCTTGTACCTTTTTGGACAAACCCACAACATGATTAACCTTATTTGTATCAGAAATTAAGCTTTATTGGGCACTAAATAGTTTGACTCTCTAATAAAAAGCAATGTTGAATTTGAGGTGCAAAGTTGAAATTGATTTTGCAGCACCAACCAACACACAAGAGGGACAAAAAGTGAGGCAGGTAATTTGGATAATTTCATATTTTTTATGCAACAAAATATTTTTTTAAATTCAAGAAATATATTTCATTGACACAAGAAAATAATATCTTCAACAGAAATAATGATAAATCCTTTCTAATTAAATTTGTTACATGTATAAAGGGTTAATAATTAAATTCCCAATTAATAATTTAATTCCCAATCACATATTTAAGTGATAAGAATCTACGAACAATACAAAAATCTAGGCTAACATAGTAATATATTGACTAAATTTGGTCATTATTGTTTTGATTTATTTTGTTTTTGATTTAGAATTTTCAAAGTTCGTGTCTTCATTTGTAACTGCTATCTTAAAAACCAATTAAACCAGAAAAAAGGTTATTGTTATGTATTAAAATAAAATTAATATTAATGCATCAAATAAAATATAAGGTTTATAGCAAAATTATTATTCATTAGTTGTTAACAATACAAATATGTTAAAACATTTATATTTACTATTTACTATTACTATTACTAGTATATTAAAATTGTGCAAATTTAGTAGATATTTCAAGTCTCAATTCAGAAAAAAAATACCAAAATTATAATTATGTTTTTTTTTGTAATATTTAAGATAAAATACAATGATTTGAATTTAAATTATTATTGTTACTCCTTAGTCATCTAATTCCTATATCATTGTAAAAGTGACATTATATATAACTTATAAATTATAAATGGCTAAAGAATACTCTCTCTGTTAAAAAAAATATAAGATATTTTTAATTAAAAATTACTCTTAATAAAATAATTATTTATCTTTACATTAATCATGTCTTTTCATATTTATTTTTATTTAATAGGGTGTTTTAACTTAAAATAAATATAAAGTGGTTTATTTCAATATGAGTATTTTTGAAAGAGAAAACAATGATTACATTTTAAAAGATAAAAAATATTTTACATTTTTAAATATCTAACATTTTAAAAAATGCTTTATATTTTCAGCTTTCATCATTTAACTTTATAAAAGATTCAATTTTTATAAAATATCTTTCCAATCTTTCACCAAATACGGTTAATTTTAAATGATTATTTTTTAAATAATGAAACCTTATATAAAATTAAAGGATCGAATATATACTTTAGTTTAAGAGTGTTCAACTTGTACTTGTTTCAATTGGCTCAATTCTATCTTTGCTATATCACGATGAGTCTTGTTTTGACTTTAAAATAATCAAGATGAGATTTTATAGGACTAGATTTTTGAGAGAACAATGATTTAATGTTGTGCTTGACTTGTTTATTGTTGCTCTTATAGCCTAAAAATCACTTATAATTACTATCATAATGTGTTATACACTAATAGTTGTAATTGATGTAATTTAATAATTGACTTTAAATTATTATGATTTATGTACTCATGTTATTTTAATTTTAAACTTAATAAATTATGTAATTTAAAAGTTTAATAAATGTTATTATTCAAATATTTTTCTCACATTGTTCAATTTATTGGGACGGTTAGACATCCCGATCTCACCTCAATTGTTAATGTGATGGGATAATTTTTGGAAAAGGATATAAAATAAAAATTCAGTCTTAACCTTTTTTGAAATGGGACATGAGACATGAGTGTCCTAGTCCCATCCTGTGCACAGTTTAGCCACTATAAAACAGTACAAATTATTTTTAAAATGAAGACAATAAAACTTATTTTAACTTAGAAATATCATCCTATATTTTTTCAATTTTTTATACTTTCTTGAGGGCATCTTATAAACTATTTTTAATGTTCATATACATATTTTAATAATAATAATAATAATAATAATAATGATAATAATACTTTCATTTTATGGGATATCGGTTTATCAAGCGACTTAATCGGTTCCTAATAAATAGTACAAGTGTTTTTAATTTTCGATATTATTATTATATATATTTTTATTTTTGTATTTTCATGGATCTTTTTATAAATTTATTTGTACTTTTTATATGTACATTTACATACTCACAAGTTTTTAATTTTTAATTTGTTGACCAGCAATTTTTTAATTTTTAATTATTAACTCACAGGCAATGTACATGTCTGCGCGCTTTTTAAAAAAATGCATTGGACTTTCAATAGTACGGCGGTAGCGGTACAGCCTTTTTCTTTTTAAGCGGTATTTGTTCCTTGGATTAGAATATATGAAGCGACTAATCTGTGCCGTGTAGATGATCTAACGGTCCAAATTCATAGTTAACTTACGGATAACTTTTCGTGCTCAGATAAGTTCGCTCGACCCGACCAAACCATATCGCCACGTGTCCAACTTAAAACAAGACTTCATTTAGGAATATTTTAAAGACGCAAAAATGTAAAACGAGTTTCCATTCTCGAACTGATCACTCACCAAACTAACTTTACCAATTTGCCCCTCTCCCCCAAATTAACCAATAACCGGCGAAACCCAACAAAGTTTTCCACGCCCAACGATTTTGATACTTGAAACTTGATGCTTTCCATCAGCGAACCAGGACTACCCACGTGTCATTTCTGAAACTTCTCGAGCTTTATACCCCGTTCGATCCTCGGTGTCTTCGAACCGACGCACTTTTTCATTTTCGATCTTCTTCCCAGACGTTCATTTTTTCTCGGTGGAAAAAAACAAAACTTGGAGTGCTTTTTCCTCAGCCAAGGAAGAAGAAGGAATTAGGCCAAAAAAAAAAAAGGCCGCTGAGAAAGTACCCCACACTCTTTGTGCCATCCCGTTGTTTCTGCTTTCTCTGACTTCTCTATCTCTTTCGACGTCGGAACCCTAATTCGATCGGCTGGGCCTCGAAGCAAACGGCAAGTGTTCGGTGAGGTTTAATTCACTCTGTTCGGGTCTGTTTACTGGGCTTTGTGCTTTGTTGAGGGGAGAGAGGGTTGTAATTACTGACAAGGAATTGTTTTTTAAGTAGTCGATGACTGAACAATTGGGGAATAGCTGAGATCAAACGGGCTGGATTTCCTCGACGGATGGAGGGAGGTAGCGTCTTTAGACTTACTTGTTCTGGTACTGTTCATGTCCAACTTTTATGAGATACAGGGTACTTTTTATTCTGTTTTTTGGGCAAAGATATTGCTTCCGTTGCTTTGAAATGGTGAGCTTTGATTTCAAATTGTTGCTTGGGCTTCCTTTGATCTGAAATGGCATTCGCCCAAAAGTTTTTAATTTTTCTTACCTTTTCACTGTCTAATTGGTTTTTTAAGGTTGTCTGTTAAAGGATTATGCTTGCTTCATCCTCTTGGGAGATTGTTCTGTATAATTTTATCACTGCGGAAGGGACTACTAATTCTTGGTTGAAGTTTATTCATATTTATATTTTTTTATATTTGGCCGTGTAAACACGAAACTGCTTGTTTTATTATTGGATTCACTATTGAGATAATGGTTTCTTTGTCCTGCGCTTCCGTTTTAGACACCCTCCACGCCCTAGGCACTGGATTCCTTGTCTATTTCCAAAATGTCTTCATTGTGGATCATTTATATTCACCATCTTGCTTGGAATATAGTAGTTTCTTGGGGCACCTAAGTATATTTTCCGTTTAGCATTGTTTGGTGTGCATTTTTGCAAGTGGTCTTGACATTTTGAGATATGGGGTAATGATTGAATGGTAAAACCTACGAGTTTTTTACTGCTGGGATATGTTGAAGTTTCATGTTGCCCTGACTCGTGGGCTGATTATTTGTTGTGCAAATTTTAATTTAAATTATTGCATTTCTGTGGGTTTCTGTGTCATGTATGCATAATTTACATGTTGACATGTGGTTGATGGATGTATGCTTCGATGTGATTGGTTCAATGACAATGAGCTTCTGTTCTCGGGCATCTGTCTGCATGCATGTGTGCTTTCTCCTTCTAAAGAAAAAGATAAAAAATGAAAGGAACATTATCAAATCAAAGAAAGAAGAAATACAGTAAGGTAGACCCTGATATCCTCCATTAAGAAAAAGACAAATGAAAGAAGGAGAGGCCAAGATTTTCAAAAATGAGCTGGGATTTTCAATTTCCCTGCATATCAGGAATTGGTACTTACTTGAAACACCAAGTGTTAAGAAGTGTGGTTCCACAGCTCTATCCCATATCCATATCAACTGTAATGGAAAGGAGAGATACCTGGAAGTCCTCCTTTCACGCTTATCTCCCATCTCCCAGGACCCCTTCTTTCTCATTTTTTCTCGTGTATTTCTCTTTTTTCAGGGATACACCCATGGATTATGATGACAATGATTTTCAAAGCCAGAATCTTCATTTAGCTGGTGAAGGGAGTGCCAAATTTCCTCCAGTGTTAAGGCCATATGCACTACCTAAATTTGATTTTGATGAGAGCCTTCCAGGACAATTAAGATTTGATAATTTGGTTGAAACTGAAGTTTTTCTTGGCATCGAAAACAACGAAGATAACCAGTGGATTGACGCATTCCCTCGAGGGAGTAGTGGCATAGAGTTTAGTTCAACTGCAGCTGAATCTTGTTCTATATCAAGGCATAACAATGTCTGGTCTGAGGCCGCCTCCTCAGAGTCTGTTGAAATGCTATTAAAATCTGTTGGGCAGGAGGAATTCATTCCAAGACAATCTGTTATTCAGGAATCAGATGCCTGTAATGAACTGGCTTGCTTAGCTAAGCAAATGGAATCTAATCCGAAAGCTGATGATAAAAATGAATCCCGAGGAGATGTTGCAAGTTTACAGCCATATCATAACATTCATGAAGACGGGTCTGGATTGAAGAATAATGAAACAAGAGAGCAACCTAAGGTTGGGGTTTCCCAAGCCCATGAAAATGAATTATCTTTTGATGAGAGTTCAGGCAATATGGAACTAAGTGATATTTGCAAAAATGTTAATCTTCCTCAGTCTGATGGGATTCATTTTACTGATACAAAAAGTAACAATGAAAACCAACAAGAAGCTGGAACTATGGGTGATGACTCGTTGAATGACAAAACTTTAGACAATTCATCTGCTTCTGGGGAACCACAAACTAATATTACTGCAGCACCCATGCAAAATATGTGTGCTACTTCTGATTCGCTAGACATTCAAAATGTGCAAAATCAGGTGGCTGGTATTAGTGGTGAGCAGCAAGGTTGTTTGACAGCTCAAACTGATAGGCAAGATACAGAATCTTACACATTTAACAAAGATACTAATGTAGACATACAGCCTTTGGATGGAAATGCAGTTGGGACTGATGCACATAATGATAATTCTCTTTGTTTGGCATCTAAAGAAGCTTTGAGTGGTGAAAGTATGGTTAAGGGACTCAATCCTTGCTTAACTAAGGTGGATGACTCCTTAGGCATGGTACCTAGCAATGTTTCTGACTTGCAGAAGGCAGCAAGATGTAGTGAAGATATACTTTATGGAAATCCATGTGTGGACGGTGCAGGCGGAAATGCAGTTAAAGATGCAGTCAAAGATGATCAGTTTGCACTAGCAGCACACAGCTCTCCAAAGGTTGAAGTTAAAGGAAATACTGGTTTTGTTGGGATTAATAATTCCGATCGTGGGATTTCTTCTAATCTCCAGCAGGCTGTGGATTCTGCTGTGAAGAAGGCACGTGGTGAGAGCACTTTTGCCAAGGAAAAGGAGTCACTGAGTACTGGTCACGAACTGGATATGGAGGTTTCAGTAAGTAAGGTCGAGACACCTATTTTAACTGTGGAGGGAAGCAACATTTCTGAAATTAATGAACATGATGACAGCAAGGTGGAAGACATTTCCCGTTTCAGCATGGCGTTTTCGACAAAATCTAGCATTTTGGGTGAATCAACTCAAGTATGTGAGCACAGTGAAGTTGACAAACTGGATGAAAAAAAAAATCATCAAGATATGTCTGTTGCAGGCCAGGATTTTACAAGGGCTCCTTCTGACTCTAGCCAAATGAATTGTGATGCTGATAATGTCCATCTTGTTGATAAAGGAGTTGGTTCATCGACTATTAGTTCAGGTAGCATGGAAGGTGGGTTATCAACTTCCTTTGTATCAGCTGACGTCACAGCTCTTGATAATTCAGGTATGTTATTATATTTTATAATTATTTTGAAAAGGATGGTTAGTCTTTCATGCCATAGAATCTAGCTTAAAGCTGTCTTTGCTGCATCACCTTTCAGCTTCAAAAGATTTATTAGATGTTTCTTTGGCATCATGTGGGACAGTGGATGTTCAACCTGCTTCTTGCAATGTTTCCTCCCAGAAAGTCTCAGATCAAAATGATGTCCAGAGGAAAACTTCTCCTGTTGGGTCCAATTCTGTTGATGAAAAGGAAGACTCTGCTTCCAGAATTGCTGAGGAAACCCGCATATATACCTCTATTCTGTCTTCTCAACAGGGAACCATTCCTTGTCCTGTTACTGGAACTGAACAACAATCTTGTGACATTTCTAGGCAACTTTCATGTGAGACAGTAGACAATGGTACAAAGATTGTAGAGACTTGCTGCACTGGAAATATTAGTGAGCCTCAAAAAACAATTAATCACAGTAAGGAGCGTGCAAAAGAAATGGATGCCTCTCCATTTCTAAACGAACCGACAACAAAACAAGAAGTAAACCCTTCCTCGAAAATATCAGGTGATTTAATAGTCTCTCTACTTTTGAGTTTCATTTTGATATCTTGCATTTTGATTTATTGATGTGTTACGTGTTACTTGTAGAACATGGGAAAAGTTATTTGCATCCTTCGCAGTGTCAAATATTCAAATTCTTTAGTTTTATCCTCTTTAGTGTTCTTAATAGAATCTTGCATGTTAATTCTTTTTTATGGCAATCTGATTTGCCTTAGAGTTTTTTTAGAATGTTGCTTTATTTTTATTTTTTTTAAGTTTATTATACATCATGTTTTAAAATAACATGAGCTTATAAAGACTGTCTTCTGTCAAGAATCGCATGTCATGATTCTTTGAAGTGTCTTGTTGGAAATTTACTTCAAAAGATGTACCTTTCTCCTATCCTTTCATTAGTGCATGTGAGCCAATTAAACTTTTTTCTGAACAAAAGGTGAATTATTGGTTTTATTTTCTGGTGGAATGCTTGGCTGATCTGTTTACAGTGGTACACGACCCCCTAATTGGTTTCTTTGATTAGATGTCAAACTAATTCTAAAGTAAATGTAGGACATCTTATTATCATCTAGTTTTATATTGGGATTTGGTAGATTATCACTGCGCCTCTAACAAAGATTTAGAAGAACGGAAGTTAATTCATTTTATCAAAGTTCATTTGTTGGATAGTACAAGCCCTCATTAAATGGGGAGGTCTGCTGGATTGTGATAGTATTTGGGAGGATGTTGAAATTATCGTAGCACGTTTGTCTACCTTTCATTATGAGGGTGGCGTGAGGTCTGCTGGGGAACTGATGGACCCTGAGTTATGGTATGCAAAGTAGCAAGTCCCATAGAGATATGGGGAGGTGGCAGAGGAGGGATGGAATAGAGAATTATATGGATAACTACCCTTGTTAGGTAGGGCAATTTTTCTTCTTTTTTGGATGGAATATTTTTGTGGGGCTGGTAGCTGTTGAGATGTTAAAGTATTTTCTCAGGAAAAAGGTGGGAGAGAGGTGGTTCTCTCAAAAGTCCAGAGTTTCTCTGTTCATTTTCTTTTTCATTCCATCTTGTAGCTCAGTAATTGAATTTGCTGCTTGCTTTCTTCTCTGTTGAAGGAGAAGTTGGAATTCAGTTCATAAAAATAAAGTCTTCCATCATATGGTATTTTTGTTGGATATAATCAATATCTGTGATGCTGAGTGGTTTATTTTTGTGATCTGCATCATGTGTTCCTATTCTCTTAATTTTCATTCAAATGTTATCAAACCTTTTAATTGTATTATTTTGCAGGAGACTTGTTACTTTCAAATCAAGATTCTGTGTCTTCCGCTCCCTTGTCTGACTCTCATGTTGAGTTGCACGAGACTGTGGGCTGTCCTGCCAATAATACTTGCAGTCCATCTATTACGGTTGAAAGGTCTTCTCAAACTGAGAAGGATGGAAATCAGGATCCCCCTGTTTCTGAGCTCATCAACAAAGATGCAACAAATATGCTATTGATTGATGATAAAAAGGGAAATAACGCATCTAAAGATAAGGGAAGCTTGACTTCTGAGCTAAATACAGAGGCAAATTTGTCCAAAAGTGATGCTGCAGATTCGAGTACAATTGGTGTTGGGAATAGCCAACCAGTTCCTACCAGTACAGCCAGCAAAGCGTCTAAGGTAAGTCTTCTTTCAGTTCTTTATCCATGTGAAAAGAACCTGTTGTATTCTATTTATAGCCTATGTGTTCTGATTGAATTTCCTTTATAATGTTCATGAGGACTTCTAGAGGATTAATGCGAATACATGGCATATTTTGTAGACTGACTCCAATTTTTTTCCTCCTTGTCCGGTTTGAAGTTTTTGGAGGTATCTCCTTCATCAGGGTTAGATCCTTCAAAAACCAAAACTGCTGGAGATAATTCCCATGGAAGTGCACAAATTTCTGATGGAGAGAGAGCACGTAGTGTTTCCAAAAGTACACCTCAGCGTAAAACTAGACGAGCACCTAACAAAACTGCTGGAAAGGCACCTTCTAGAAAAACAAGTCATGTGAAAGAAACACCTCCATCAAGACAACCTGAAAGAACAGATAAATCAAATAACGTAAAGCTAAGCTCGCCCCCTGGCTTCCAGCTGATGCAATCCAATGAGATGCTGCAGTATGGGCACGTAGATTCTGGCAGTGCAAAGCCATTTGCTCTGTTAAATGCTTCAACATCTAGTCTTCCAGATTTGAACACCTCTGCTTCTGCTTCTGTGCTGTTTCAACAACCTTTCACAGATCTACAGCAAATACAATTGCGTGCACAGATCTTTGTTTATGGAGCTTTAATGTGAGTTCAAATGTTTGCCATTGTATGCCATTTAAATGTGATGAAGCTACATTGATGAGTTGTCTATGTCTGCTCATAATCAATATTTGTTAAACATTCCTTATGCTATGACAAAATCTGACATACTGTATGTAAATGAAAAATTGGAATTATTTGTTCTGCTTTTTGACTGATATGCCGAACCTAAAGTTCATGCCATTCTTATTCCATCACTATGCTTTTACTGAAAAACTAATAAATTGTTAGGCAGCTTGTTAATATTACCAATTAATGTATGTTTTGGAACTTCTAGTTTGTTAATAACTTGTGCCTATTATTTCCACAATTGAAATTTGCTGCAGTCAAGGCACAGCACCTGATGAGGCTTACATGATATCAGCATTTGGAGGGCCAGGTTAGTTTCTTTCTTTTTCATGAGCTCCCTCCGTATCTGCTTCTTTTATTTCTCCATCAGAAACAGTTGATTTACTATAAGCTATAAATTGTGCTCTTAAGATGGTGGAAGAGGCCTTTGGGAGAATGCTTGGCGTGTGTGTGCAGAAAGGCAGCATGGTCAAAAGTCTCTTCTCATGAACCCCGAAACTCCTGTACAATCACGATCTGGTATATCTTGGAATTTTTAATCTGCCCCCCCCCTTCTTTTTTGAGTTGATTGGATATAACTCTTGAGAATCAGAATCTGCAGGTCCTAGAGCCTCTGAATTGGCTAAGCAAGGTTCACATCAAAGTAAAGGCATCTCTTCTCCTCTTGGTCGATCCAGCAGCAAGGCTACCCCAACAGTTGTAAACCCCTTAATACCTCTTTCATCTCCCCTTTGGAATTTACCGACTCCATCTGATTCACTGCAACCTGGTGCACTTGTAAGGGGATCTGTCTTGGATTATCCACGGGTACCTTCTTCTTTGCATCCTTATCAAACTCCGCCTCTGAGGAACATTCTTGGACATAACACATCTTGGATATCCCAGGCACCTGTTCGTGGACCATGGATTGCATCTCCTGCTCCTGCTACTGATACCAGTTCCCTCTTTTCTGCATTACCTATTTCAGATTCAGTTAAATTGAATTCAGTCAAAGGATCTACTTTGCCTCCTTCCAGTTGTATAAAAAGTGTCCCTCCAGGTCTCCCATCTTCCAATGCAGCTCCACAAAGTATCTTTGTTGGGACTGCCCCTCTGCATGATACCAGCAATGTGACAGTGTCACCTGCTCAGCATTCTTCAGATCCAAAGCCTAAAAAAAGAAAGAAGGTTATGGTATCTGAGGATCTTGGTCAGAAGGCTTTGCAAACACAATCTCAACTAGAGCTGAATCCTGTTGTTAGTTCTCATGTCTCTACTGTTGTTCTAGCAACAATTGCTGGGAGTGCACCCAAAACTACCTTTGAAAAATCTACTGTGTCTATGTCCTCTCTATCTCATGCTGATCACCTCAAAAGTGATCGTAGTATTGAGAAGAGGTTTCTGTCAGATGAGTCCCTTGTTAAAGTTAAGGAGGCTGGGGTTCATGCAGAGGAAGCTGCTGCTCTTTCTGCAGCTGCTGTGAATCACAGCCTAGAGATATGGACCCAGCTGGATAAGCAGAAAAATTCTGGATTGGTATCGGTTATTGAGGCAGAACTAGCTTCTGCAGCGGTTACAGTTGCTGCAGCAGCTGCTGTTGCAAAGGCAGCAGCTGCAGCTGCCAAAGTTGCCTCAAATGCTGCTTTGCAAGCAAAACTCATGGCTGAAGAAGCATTGGCCTCATCTGGTCATGAGGGCACCTACCAAAGTAGTGAAATTTCTCATTCTGAGGGTATTAAAAACCTGGGAAAAGCTACCCCTGCATCTATTTTGAAGGGTCCTAATGGAACCAGTAGCTCTAGCTCGATCATTATTGCTGCAAAGGAGGCTGCTAGAAGGAGAGTGGAAGCTGCATCAGCTGCTGCAAAACAAGCTGAAAATATGGATGCCATTGTGAAGGCTGCTGAGCTGGCAGCCGAAGCTGTATCACAAGCGGGGAAGATTGTAACTATGGGTGATCCTCTGCATATTAGTGACTTGGTAGAAGCTGGTCCACAAGGTTGCCGGGAAGCACCACATGATTCTTGTCAGCAAGTTGGATCATCAAAAGGCAAGATTAGAGTTCCAGTAAACATTGACAATGTTGGAGACAGTGCCACAATTTCTCACACACTTAATAGAAACATTTCATCCGATGGAATGGGGATGAACATTGCTGCAAGTGAGAAGTCACCTCTTCATAAGGTGTATAATGAGAGATCAGAGGACCAAACAAGACCCATGGATGGTAATTCTAAATCCATTGACACTGTTGAAAGGACTTCAATAGGACCCAGGGGTTGCACTGTTTCTGACTCTGTCAATCCCATTGATTTGGTTTCAGGATCTCAGATTGAAATGCATGATACATCTTTCCCTGTTGCAAATGGATCTGAAAAGCTGGAGAACAACATCAAGGAGGGCTCACTTGTAGAGGTTATTATTTGGAATTCTTATAATCTATTTTATTTAATTGAAGTAGTCCCATTAATGCCCATGGGTTGTACTCATAGAAAATTTGATGATTAGGTCATAGGTTTGTATGTATTGTTCCCATTTAAGAATATTTTAGTTTTGCTGTTGGGTTGTCTTTTTACATTGAAGTAATCATATTGCAGGTTTTCAAAGATGGAAGGGAGGGATGTCAAGCTGCATGGTTCACAGCCAATGTTTTAAGCTTGAAGGATGGAAAAGCTTATGTTTGCTACTCTGTGCTTGTAGCTGATGGAGGTTAGTCAAACATGCTTGTGCTTCTATAAGAATTAGATTGTCTGAGGAAGCTGTACTGTTCATGAATTATGAATAGTGTGGCTTCCTATATGTTCTAAATTATATATATAGATAGTTAAATATCTTATTAACTACTTGACCACAAAACCGCATGACTTATTCATTAAATCTTGACTATTTTGAATGTTTTGATGGACATGGGATTTTTGTGTTTAAGATGAAAATTACCATCGGCACTCTTTTGAGGGAAATTTCCAATGTAAAATGTTCTACATTAAACCATATAATTGACCTTTGCTATTGATTAGATGCTTGTCATAGTTTTAATGATTTGTTCCTAGGTTTACTACATTAGGATGTTTCCTTATTTCCAATCAGCTTTCATTAAGATCTCAAGTAATTGGTCGTTACAGTATGTGTTTGTTCATTGTTAATGAGAAAACTTCTGCTTCCTAGGGGCAGGGCCATTGAAGGAATGGATTCCACTAGAAAGCGAAGGAGACAAGCCACCTAGAATACGTATTGCCCGTCCTGTAGCTGGTTTAGTTCATGAAGGAATGAGGAAGAGACGTAGATCAGCCACAAGAGATTATGATTGGTCTGTTGGGGATAGAGTTGACGTATGGATACAAGAAAGGTACCATCTGCAGTTCAGTCTTAGTAGTCATTTCAAGTGATATATGTTTTGCTGGTGTTATCTCCTCACATTTGGCACTTTTTATTATCAGTTGGCAGGAAGGAATTGTAAAGGAGAAGAACAAGAAAGATGAAATAACTGTCAACTTTCCTGGTATTTTGATTGAAAACTAATGTTTCATGTTAATGCCAATCACACCATGTGCTTGAAAATTGATAATCCAATTGATTCTCTGCAGCTCGTGGAGAAACAGCTGTTAGAGCTTGGCAAGTTAGATCATCCCTTTTTTGGAAGGATGGGAAATGGATTGAATATTCTAGCTCAGGAGCGAATGTCAAGTCCACTCATGAGGTGTCTTGCTTACTTTTTCCAATAGGAAATTGATCATTAATGAATAATTAATGCTTGCCTGTGCTGAGCTTTTAGATTTTTCTTGCAGGGTGATACACCACGTGAAAAACGACCTAAGTTGGGTAGTCCTACGAAAGAGGTGAAGGGGAAGGATAAGATGTTAAAGAGCATTGAGGGTGGGGAGCCAGTAAATCCTAATGAATTGAGATTGCTTGATTTGGCAGAAAAAGAGAGAGTGTTTAACATTGGTAAGAACAGCAGGAATGAAACTAAAACTGATACACAGAGAATTGCAAGAACTGGTCTTCAGAAAGAAGGATCAAGAGTGATTTTTGGTGTTCCTAAACCTGGGAAGAAAAGGAAATTTATGGAAGTTAGCAAACATTATGTTGCGGATAGGAGTGACAAGGTTAATGATGGAAATGATTCAGTTAAACTTGCAAATTTCTTGATGCCTCAGGGTCCAGCTTTTCGAGGATGGAAAAATAGTACCAAGAATGATACAAAGGAGAAACGAGGAGCCAATTCAAAGTCTAAAATTGTCAAGTCTGGAAAGCCTAGTGTTCAGGTTAAACCAAACCTGCCGAAAGACAGTCCTGCAGCGAATGCCTTTTCTCCTTCCAATGATCTGACAGATCATGCAGAAAAGATCAAGGACTCTGCAAGCCATGATAATGATGCATCTGAGAGGGGAAACCGTGTGGAGATGGCATCCTACTCTGCAACTGATGGAACAGCTGAGGGACAGGGACCAATCTTGTATCCTCCGTTGGCAACCTCATCTGATCCTCCTTCCTCTCACAGGACAACTGCATCAAGAGCAAGTAAAGGAAAACTTGCCCCTGCTGGTGGGAAGTTGGGTAAGATAGAGGAGGAAAAACCAACAACCGAAATCTCTGAGATCCGTAGATCCAATCGTAGGATCCAACCAACTTCAAGAGTAAGTATTCAACATATATCTCTTTCCATTTAACAAATTGGCTTTCATGTATAATTGTTCTTGGAAGTATGAAAATGAGCATTTTTTTTTTTTACTTTGCACTGCTCAAAAAATTTAAGTACCTGTATTTGATGTATTTATGTCTTTATCCACCTAATGGAACAAGGCTTCTTCTTGTTATCTTTATCTTCTGTGCCTGATGTGATTTGGCTTTGGGGTGGCAGCTATTGGAGGGGTTACAGAGTTCTTTAATCATCTCGAAGATTCCTTCTGTTTCACATGACAAGGGTCACAAAAGCCAGAATCGTAATGCTTCTAGGGGTGAGAAACGAGAATTTCCTTTTCCAGTGATGGGCAGTACTTTTGTCTCGTTGAATCTGCTGTATATCATGACTGACTGACTGACCGACTGTGAACAGGGAATAATCAAGGCTGAACAACAACGCTGTTGCAAACCTGCAATGACGCAGCTCAGTTAGAAGACCAACAATTAATATGAAGAAGACAGATACACCCAAGCCCAGCATAGATGTGTATATTTATAATAGGGAACCTAGGAATGCAAATTCTTGCCATTTCGGCTTTAGGCAGACTAGTGGGTAGTGGACTAGATGTTCATATCGATTTCTAGTTTTGTTTACAATTTCATTCGATCTCCCCAGTTCCAAGTCCAAGGCACTTGTAGGCTGTATATGGACTTTCTCCGTGTAGTCCGGTTTGTAGATGTTTGTTGATGATCAAATTACAACGTGATGCTCCCCCCCCCCCCTTTTTCTTTTTCTTGTTTTTTTCTCTCCCTTGCCTGGATATCAACTTGTTTCCTCCTTTTAATTTTCCCTCACTTTAATACCCTGCCTGCTTTGCTTGGGTTTTTCAGCACTGTTTGTTAAGCCCTGGATCTGGTACATCTCATTTGAGTGATACGCACAAGACATCATTACAGGAGGAGAGACACAGTATACAAGATTGTACTTTGTGGGGCTGACCCCTAATTTCTTAGGTCGTCTTCGTTTTCCACGAGTTAAAGAAAGGGTCAATTTCTCCTCTTACGGGAAAGTGTGCGCGCGATCGGCCTTCTCATGAATTTGGTTTGCGGCTGACCGATCGTCTCACTTGTATATTCATCTTGTGATTTGTGAGTAATTTTGAACTAAATTCTCACTTGTATGCCCTTGACAGGATGAAGGCAATTTTAGGTGAAAATGTTTCCCAGCGTATCAATAATAGAAATTGCTTCTATGGTTTGTAAGAGGGAAAATATTTAATTAATGAAGTATATGTACTTAATGTGTTTTAGTCAAGGCAAATTAGCGTGTGGATTTTAAATTTAAAAGTTCACAATATTAACATTAATAGTAATAGTTATAGAATGAATGATGCTTGAATAATCTACTTATTAATCGGAAGAAATGCGCAAGTTTGAGTACGTAAGCTTGTTAATATTGCAATAGCTAATGCTCAACAATATCTGATTGTAATAGTGTAATGGTTTTTAACTTAGGGGTGATAATGTTTTTCCCATAATTAGTAGTATATACATTTCTCAATATTCGAAAGAATAGTGCTAGAGACAAAAGTGAGACATAAATATAAGTAGTAGAAAAAGGCTCCAATCTTCAAATCTGCACTAAAAGACTTCAAATGATTTTACTATTGGCCTAGTCCTGATATTATGTCTCTTCTGGTCATTATCCTAGACCTTGCATCAACGTGGACTCATTTTGAAATATAATTTTTTTCTACCTTTCGAAAAGTTTTTCTGAAGAATGTTGTTAGGATTTTATTAAATAAGAAAAAAAAGGAAAGGTTTCACAGTAGCATTTCAGAACTTCATTATCATTTTTGAATACAAGGCTACAGAAAAAACTATACAAAAAAAAATTATAAAGTAGATTAAAAATAAAATCTAAATGCGAACGCATCTGGTAATTTCTCTAAACACATGTCAAAAGTGACCAGTCTTTCTTGATTCTTTATTTTAGATAAACATGAATTTTATGATTTTACGGATTCTTTCTATTCAGTTTGAGGATCATCTGATAATTACTCATACTTCGTAAGATTAGAAAGTATATGCATATCTTCTTTAATTTACTCGTATTAGTTTTTAATGTCAATAGCGTAAATATCCTTGTTTTAGGTTTAGAAGGATTGACCATAATAGATATTTTCAGAAATTGATATAAAACACTTGGATAGTGAAGTTGGGCTTCAAACTTCCCAGGAAGCAATACTATTTTTCTTTTTTCTTTTTTAACAAAGTAGAAGCAAATCAAAATAAGTTGGGCAGTTCTACTTTCCCTCCTTACCCCCCTATAGGTCATGGAAGACAAGAATGTCAGAAGGAAATGGGAGAAAATTCTTTTTTTTTTTTTTGGTTTTGGTCAGACACATCAACCTGTCGTAGAGCAAAGGTATAGATCTACAACAAGAATATCTATTAACACTTGCAGCGCATTACGGTACTTCATCCTATACATCGATATATAAATTAAGACACCTACCAACTTACTGGATTATGTCTGCACACCTTTTTGTTTGATTGGTTGCTGTGACAAAGTTGAATTAGCATCGACTTGACTGATAACTGGGAAAAATGGAGACATTATCGTCAACAAGTGATGCCATCAACAAGTTTATTTCTCCCAATATTCTCCTCAGTCACAAATCACTTCCTTTTCATCTGCTTGCTGTTTTCCTGCTTCCTTTTCGTGGTTGAAGACTCTCTTGAATCTTGCTCCCTCCATTCATTATGGATTCAGCGTTTGTTGTAAGGTTTATAGCAATATTTTTATAGCCATGCTTGCTTACTTCATCTACAAGTGGCTTTTCACAGATGCAAGAGCTTGGATATTCATGGAATTCTCCTCGTCCCGGTCTCACCTCATCCGGCTCTCCCATGAATCCTCTCTGAGATATCTTGACTTTTCTGGAGAAGGTATCCCAATCCATCTTATCTCTCGCCAAAAACAGCGCACTGAGCTTCTTTGCATTTGGTCTAATGGTTCTTTTGTGACCCATGTACCTCCTGTAACATGCAGAATGAAATTTATCGGTGATGTCAAGGTTCTCTTCAAGCCATTAACAGGTTTCATCCAAGCCAAAAATAGAAAATGGAAAAACAGGACGTAGCAATTAAAAATCAGATAATTTATTACCACAAGCAGACAAGCTACATGTGTCTATAGTTTTCTGTATATAAATGAATGACCGCTGCCAAAACATGCTTCAATCTCTTGAAATACATAAATACTCCCTCAGGTCCTTTTTATAAGGCCTTATTAACTACTTTCCTAAGATTAAGGAATTGAGTTAGAATTATTTAAATGTCTACAATTATTACAACTTCCCAAAACTACCCTTAATCAAGTTAAAACTATTATTCATGCTAAGAATGAAAGAAATAAGGGAATTTTTAGAATTGAGTCATAAATGTTTCATTAAATTTTGTAAAGGGCCTTGTATTAAAGACTAATGGGTGGATGTTATAAATAAGACCAAAGGAGCATGAACAAAACAAACTTAAATGAAGGAAAGATGAAGTGACATCAATGACGAAACATCACAGTGATAATCTTTAATTGAAAAATTAAAATTTGAACTATCATTAAGTGCTGACTCCAAGGGAAAACAAAATTGACTGAGATTAACATTAGTATCTAAATCCAGCATACAAACAGTAATGCTATAGTTGCTTCCTGGACCATGCCATATGTTCATAGCATTGAGATTCAGCTTTACAGATCGTTTTGCCATTCTCGATGAAGCAATGGTGTCTAAATGTCAGAATAACTCTCCAGCAGAACAATGGCATTGCTGGTCAAGGAGGCTGAGACCCCAAAAGAAGAAACTTCGAAAAGTCCCATTCGGGTCACTCAATTGTAGAAGGAACTTATCAATCTATGCTCTATCACTGGATGAATTTCAAGAGGCGCTAAATACTTGGTTGTGCCACCTAATCTAGGAACTACTTTTCAACATTGTACCAATCAAGAGAGCTAACATCTTAAACAGTAGTAAAACAATCAATCGAGGACCCCTGGTATTTGAAGAGTGTTATGAGCCCAGATCATTATTTATCCCAATTTATATCCTAAAATCTTCACGACCAAACGACAATAATTCGTTTGAGCACTTTCCGAAAAACTAAAACAGGTCACACAAGAAATTTCATACTTGATTTCTCAGTCATGTTTGACATGCACATTAAGTTTCTGCAACGTGAAACCTATTGCTATCTTTCTCCTTTCTACTCCTTACTTTTCTACTAGATGGAAGGCAAATAAAGAAATTGTAAATAACAATCCTAAATCTAAGCAAACTTACAGAGTTAATCCCTCCTCATATTTTGCGCACAAGTATAACAATAAATAGCCATAATTCAAAAAAGAATAATCACAACGTGACTCTAGCTATTCTATGATAAGGAGCAACTTAACCATTATGATTGGTATACTATATATATATATATATATAGAAACAGAAAGCTAATTTCTCACCCAAGTAGGAAAAACACAACTAAGGTTGGCATAATGTACTGAAAAGGTTACACCCCACAACATCATTAGGTTAAAGTAAATGTGCCTCTTACCTTCGACCAGCAAGTATCTTGGCCATATTACCATTATTGTTTGTGACAAACACATCACTGTCATCACAAACAATGTAGTCAATGGCAGCAAGACGGGAAGAGAATGGAAGGAAAGGTTTCAGCTCCTCATTAGCAAGCATCTCCTTAGTATACATGTTAGGGAAAAGTTCTCTAAGAGGGCGCATAGTCTCATCCCCACCATATATTTCTCCTGATGCAACATACAGGTATGTGTCATTTGCAAAGCCAAGTGCCCGCAGCATCAAACCAACTTCATGAGGAGTAAGCGGACATTTTCCTCGCTTACGCTCTCCATCAGGGCTCAAGTCCTACAGTATCATACAAGTAAATTTCCCATCCATCTTATATCAGCACAGAAATAAGTAGGTTACATTAAGGCAAAAAAAAAAAAAAAAATTGTAACCAAAGCATATTCAATAATGTAGGTTTGCAACACATGTAACACAAGTTAAATCATCCTGATGTTAAGACAAATGAGAAAAAATAGCATTAGAAATAACAGGATTGCAGTCTTACAGGCAATGTTGTCCACCGTTTTCTGATTTCACCAAGTTCACGTCTCTCTTTTTCCCCCCCACCGAAATAACAACCTGAAAATGCTAGCATATCTGGTTCAAACCTGTAATAAATTAATTGTAAATGATGTTATGAGAATCCAAACATTTTAGACAATGGCAGTTTCCATGCTTCCCAAGCCCCCCCCCCCCGAAACAAAAGAACCATAAGTGAACATACACCTCCAATTTAACAATTGAATTATACACCACATTAAATTCTAGAAAACCACATAGAAGAAGCTGCTGAGAGCAGAAGAGAAAGCAACCATAACAAGACAACCTGAAAGACTTTCAAGATAAAAATCCACATTTGTGAAGTGTGCTTGGAAAAGAGAAATCACAAGGAAAGAGGGCATGGATTAAGATATATGCAATTTAGGTTGCTTGTATGAGAAATCTGCACCATTTTACTTTAGATGGAATTTAAATTTTGAACTTTATCCATCAGGTTCTTTAAACAAACCTTAGATGAACTGCAATAAATCGATCTGTCATCTTTTGCATCCTCATAACCAGTCTCTGACCAAGTTCTTGTATAGGTTTTGTAAACCTTAGGGCGTGATAATTAACACGGCAACGGAGTTTTTGTAGTTCATCATCAAGGTTATTTGCAAGTCTATAATCAAATTTTGTCAATTGCACAACCTGCAAAATATCCCAATTGTTTGTTACCAAGTGCAAAGTTCACTAATTGATCATGACAAACATATACAAAACTGAAAGTGGAATAATTCAGAAATTTTAAACTTAAGGCCATCCCTATATTGATAGCAGCCTTACCCGTCTCCTTAAGAGGATTGGCAAAACTTGATCAAGATAATATTCTGGCTCTGATTTCCTTGGGACACGCATTGTATATGGTGGCTTTTCCATTGACCGCATGATCTTATCAGGAACTCTTTTAACAATAGGAACATCTTTTGCAAGAAAAGAAATAAACCACGCAACATCGAAAATGTTGATGAAGTCACTGCGTTCAGACAAAAGTCTCTTGAATAAAAGAACAGTAAACTTTTCTTGCCAACTCTAAACTAAAATAACAAAAGGTTGATGAAACCAGATATGTACCTCTCATCTTTC